AAATCGTTCAAGCAGAAAAGGGCGCTGCTCTCGCTGTGCGAAAAGCGCGAGCTGCGCCCGCGGTCGCGGTCCCCTTTAACTTTGAAGGAAGCGTTTAGGTTGTTGGTGAGATTCCTAGGAAAATAAGCTGTCCGAAACGCGCAAGCGTGGACGGAGGTGTGTGTCGTGGTGTTTGTGTTTTTGTATTTGTGGTGTTCACTTTAATCATAATCATTTTTGTGTGTTTGTGTCGTGGTGTTCGCTTTTGTAAATCGTGTCCTGTGAGGCGAGGGTTACCCGTCCAGAGCGTGTTTGGGCTCTTACCGGACATTTACAGTGTGATTTGGGGGTTCCGTAAAGAGGTTAGGGGGCCCCGTGGGGGGTCGGAGGGGGGGTAGGGGTTCCGTGGATCATTATGACCAAAAAGTCGCATTTCGTCCAAACACAAAAAACTCATCGGATATCGACGCAGCTCGACGCCGCCGTCACGGCCAAAGCAGTTTCACCTTCCAAATCGTTTTTGTTCGAAAGTTATCGCTAAAAAACATTATGGACAAATTGTCCTGGACTGACCATACGACAGACCTATTTTCTTGGTCAGGATTGGTTTCGCGCAATCAGCGATTCTCCTTCTAGATATCGCGTTTTTGGCAAAGTGCGAGGTAAAGGGTCTGTGAAGACGGGCCTCCGGGCTTCGGGGGATACCTAAATCTTGAACGATAGAAGAACGATGCAACGCTGCAAGTGCACTCAAGTTCGCGCAAGGGGTGCGGGGGACGGGTCCCAATCAATTGTCGAATGGAGATGCTATTTCTTTCATTACTTCAAATCAACGCCCCACCCAGTGTTGAGGTCCAAACCGTGGTCACAGAAGGGTTAGGGTTCCTCTCCCCGAGGCTCCATACCCATCCACCCCTCCTCGCCTGCTTCCCTTCGACTTGTGACGCGAGGGTTGCCATTTTGTCATCCATTTGTCTTGGACGTCGGCCTTTATCCTTAGACTGGTCTAAACCATTCAGTCCTTCGACCACGGTAGTAGTCCAAGGTTGCCATTTTGTCATCCATTTGTCTTGGACGCCGGCCTTATCCTTAGACTGGTCTACACCTTTCAGTCCTTCGACTACGGTAGTAGTAGTCCACCCACCTTTCGCCCTTATCCTTAAGACCAGCACACTTTTCGGTACAATTCAGGACATCCAGCCGGGGTTGTCTCTGCGGTGTTCTCTTGATCTTATCGCAAAAGGGGTTCAGCCGTTCCTTAGTTTCCGTCGTCGACCACCAAGTCATTCTTTTTTTATGAGTGCGCAGTACACACAACAGATAAATGGACACGACGGCTACCAATATGTCTTGTTGACCCTGCTACCTACGGCGGAGATATCACTGTGTGCTGCTCGGGAATTCGTGGCAACACAGAATTTCCGCTTGAGGTATGGATTCATTGCTATCTATCTCAGATTATATTCTTTGTGTCATGCGGTACCAACCATCGTATCAGAAAACCAGCGTCAAACTTATTTCGGCTACACAAACTGCAATACGAATATTTTGATTCCGTGCATGTATGTGCACAAGAAATGATCGTTTTCCACGTTTTTGGCATGAGAAGAAAAATCCCGGTTCGTTCGCATGACTGCAGCAACGAGAATCGCAACCCACGTCCAAACGTCAGAAGGTTGCGAAGATGTTGAAGCGCCCAGCCACTGCTGTGTGAGCGAGCTCAATAGGCTACACCACCCAACAGCAGAGAGCGGTGATAATGCCGATAAAAAAAATGCTACGTGAACTAAGTACGGCGGTTGCGATGTAAGGTGTGAGAGGGCATTCAGTCGAAACCAAGCATTCCCCTCCACGTCTGCCTATGACACCGAGCCTACCTCGAAAATGCAGAGAGCTCCTTCCGTTCACCGACGCCCCCTAGCGACTGCAAAGACACTCTATGCACTCCCCACCCCCAATTGCCGTGCAAATTGTCAACTAGACCCCTTTCAATGTTCTTGCGACGCGCCAACAACAAGTAGAGTAGACCTCGACCGACACAGACAGCAAAAAAACACAAACCCAGACATCCCAGACAAGGCAAGGACAATGGCAGGAGTTGGCTAGTACGCGCCACGGCCACGGAAACACCACAACGTCGGACCGATTGCGCGGTCTCCGCCTTCAGCCTTCCTTGCTCTCTCTCCGCTTCTTCTTCTTCTTGCTGCTGCTGCTCTTGGGCTTGCTCTCGTCGACGTCAGCCGCCGCCGTCGCCACGGGACTGTCAACTTCGGTGTCGGGGGTAACGTCAACCTCGGCGGCCGCCTTGCGCTTCGGCGACGACTTGTCCATCTTCCTCTTCTTCTTCTTGCTGCCGTCCTCTTCGGAGACCGTTTCTGCCGCTCCGTTTTCCTCCTTCCCTCCTGCTGCCGCTATCGGGTCCAGCGCTTGCGCCACCTGTCCGCACTGCAGCTGCATCGGCAGGCTAGCGCTCGCCTCCCCGACCGCGGCGAGCGATGCCTTCAGCGACCTCGCCTCAGAGGCCAGGGCGGAGAGGGCTCCGACACCCTCGTCGGCGCCGACGGTAGCCGAGAGGCAACCCAAGATAGGCTTCAGGCGTTTCGCCTTGAGCATAGCCGACGAGGATGCCGCGTTTGCTTTTGCCGGTTTCTTGTCGTCGGTTTCGGCCGTATCTCCTGTTGCATTTGTGACGGCGGACGAGGCCGCTTCCTTGGCGGCAATGGACATGACGTCACTCAATGCCTTGAAGATCGCGGGACACTGGGCCAGCAGGGTTTCGCGAGAAGCTGGGTTCATCGATCCGCGTCTTCGGGCACAGAGGGGGGGGGGGGCAAACACGGGGGGGGGGGCAATCGCCGTCAAAAAGACAGGGAACAAGGGGTTTGGTGGTCTCGTACAAATTTGACACGAGAACATTTATGTAGGCAAACAACCGTTCATCATGGGGTGAGGGAAGCACTCACTTCCTGGAATGTATTTCGCGCCACACGCGCCAACAAACGCACACCTGTTCTTCTAATATGTATGGTACGCACGTCATGTTTACGTCATCCTCACATGGGTACGCGGCGACAATATATTTTTCAAAAGTTTCCATGAATCACCGAAAAAGTACCGTATGGTTCGTCGTGGGCTTCCGATCCACTTTGTCACGCTGCACTTAGGTGCGCTTTTCTCGGGGGTAGGAGGGTTTATTTCGAATTTCAAAAGCACAGTAAAAAAGCCCGGTCTCCAGGCGCAGGAATCTAAGGAACTTTTTTTAATTATTCCTTGACATTTAATGTCGAAATAAGCAGAAATGTTCGTTCATCATCTGCTGGAGGATGTACTTTTCAGAGAAATTTCTGAGACCGGATTCCGATATCGGAATTTGCCAGATGGGTTTTCTTTCCGATATAAAAAATACAAAGAAACGACGAAGTTATGCCCCATAGATCGATTTTGGCAGGGTATTTTGTTCACAATCGTTTGCGAGACCCAACCTCACGATTTGAAAATTAAGTGCGGCAAACGATTCCTCTCGTATTTCCGCGGATGGGTTTTCGTCCGTATTTTTCAAAAAAACTAAATTTCATGAGATACTCCATGGTTTGCTTGCCGCTGTGAAACGAAAAGTTCGCACGCACACACACCACCCATATGCATACCCTGCGTACCCTGCGCAGGGTCGTGTGTGTAATGTTCGGATAAGTGCAACATGATACGTGATGTTTGATATGCATATCATATGCGTTTGAGTGTACACAATACAGTTACAATTGGTGCAGAGCTAGAAAGCCCTTGGAGTTTGCGGGGTATGACAAGGGGGTTCCGTGGTATGATCAGGGGGTTACGTGGGTCGTTTAGACCAAAAATGTTGCATTTTATCGAAACCATATAACGTCTGTAGCTATCGACGTAGCTCGACGAGGCGATCACGAATATCGTTGTTTCACGTTCCAACTATTTTTTTACGAAAGTTATCGCACAAAAACGCGAACGGAAAAATTGTCCCAGACAGACCACAGACCATAGACCATAGACCACACGACGCAGCCAAGACTACAGCACACGCGAGCTCTCCAAGGTCCCTCCACAGCAGCACAACCTTCATTTCTGCGGCCACTCGCATGCAACACCCATGAGTGCCTGCTCACTTCTGGATGACCCCTGCCAGTAGACTGAAGGCCTCTGTCCTGAGGAAGTCGCTTGCGGCCGCTCCCTGAGCCGCCTTGACCAGCACTGGCAACAACACGTCAGGGAAGCGCTTGACCACCTCCTCGACCTGCCAACGCGACATGATTCCAGACCGAACGCGTTTGGAATCACCAACAAGAGATGGCAAGGAGTGCAGTTTAGATGCTACAGTCCTGGGCCCTCTATAAGGCGGGATATATTAGACGGGTGCCCTATACAAGGCGGGAAAATTGGCTGGCACAGACGGGATAATCAAGTTGTTTTCTACACCTTGAAAAAAAGCGGGTGCCCCGTTTAGGGGGGGGGTGTACTCATAGCCGTGCATGGCGTGGTCGTTAGACCATTGACCTCGCATGTGTCCTGTTTAGGGCGGGTGAAGCGGTCTGGGTCATACCCGCCCTACAGAGGGCCTACGACTGTACACGGCCCTCAGCGGTGCCGGTCGGGCCGCCGTACATACACAGTGCCAGTGATATCGCGTGATGCAGAGGAAAAGGAACGGTTCAGATTCGTCGGGTCCTCTGGACGGATACACATTGCCGGGTGTTCGCCATCGTGCCGGTGAAACTGTCTGTGACGTCACTGTGACGTCACATAGTGGCACCACTTCAGTCCATCCCCAGCAGTAATCTACGTCAACATGCGCCAAGGTTCAACCGCCACAGCCAATACCACCTCCGGGAATGGCTTCACCACGCCTTTTCGACCTTAGGCCGGGGCACGTTCATGACCACAGATCAAGTAGGAAACGACAATAACCCGAGCATAAAAATAGCAAGAAATTTCAAGACATGTCGCGATGTACGAAGTATATCTTATCAGCCGAGAGTATTGCATGCAAAATCGGTCAACAGCTGGTTGCGTATCCTGGTTGGTTTTGACGACTGCGGTATCCACCAAGATTCGTGACTGTCGCGGACCACAAGCACAGGAGCTTGGGCGTTCGTGCCTCCCATGCAATACTCATGACAACTTTTTTCTGCGTCGGCACGCGGAGGTAACAGCTACTTGTGCAACAGTATCGTAAGCGAAGTGAATCCACAGCTGGCATGCAGCCTTCACACTTAACCCCCGCACGCATCAACGAAAACACCGACAATGCGATTGATCGATGGCGCAACAAACAAAATTACACTATCCATTCCGGCACGGTACAACCTACCCCGCCCCCCCAAGGATATCGCACCTGGACAACCGTGAAGCCACCGCCCCTCTTCTTCCCGAAGAAGTCTCCCACAGCCGTGGCGAGCGCCTTCAAGGCCCCCTCCAAGGCGTCCCCGCCGCCGCCGCCCTTGCCCTTGCCCTTGAGGGATCTCAGGCAGCACAGGGCACCCTCGAGGGCTAAGGACGCGAGGGGCGAGTTCTTCTTCTCCCAGGCACGGCAGAGGCCGATCAGCTCCGAGAAAGCCTCCGCGGTCTGGGCGCGGGTGTCGTCGGCGTCGTCCCCTGGTTTCGATCCTTGTTCCTCGGAGGAGGAGGAGGCCCGGGGTTTGCACTTGCACAGGCGGTTCTTGTAGAGACCCTGTGAGGTAGTGGGATGGCGGGTAGGAAGGCAGGCGCGCCTGGCGTGAGGCGGGATCGTGATCATCGCGATGAGCATCTACTGGATGCAGCTCCGCGGCAGCGACAGCAATCTACAGGCGCAGCTACCGTGAAAGACCCGCATGAGAACGAAATTCGGGCATGATCGTCGAGGCCGACGATCGTCTCCAACAAGCGGGCCATGGACAACGTAAAGTGTGCCCAGAAGGGGTACAAAGCAGCACCGCAGCTGCGCCATGAACTAACAGTGTATCGTCGAATGGGCTATTTATCTGAGCCGGTTGGGTCAACATGTGATCGATCTTCTCCCTCTCTTGGCGTTCAATGCAGGCTTCGTACCCCACGATGACTGTGTCCCGATGGGCTAATAATGTCTGCTGTGGCGGTGCCAACCTACAGCAGTAGCCAGCCTTTGTGTCATACAACAAGAGGACAGCAATTTTTGTGCACAGAGACACAAACACCAGCTGTGCATGGCCTCTCAGCAATTAGCAAGCCCAAACATCCCGCGGCAAAGCGTTGCAAATGTTACTACTTCCGAGTATTAATTAAATTAAGCCTTGCCGCAGTGCATGGAGACCGGAGACTACCGACTGCTGCAAAGAGTTCTCGAGAGCTCTTGACGAAGTGCGTGGTCCAACTGCTGTGTGTATGAAGAACAATCCATCACAAAAGGGAGAGAGAAGCTCCCCGTATCGTACAACGAAGGTCGGCCGGGTTTGATCAATCACTCTCGTCAAGACATGGTCAACCTGCGCCCAAGACACACAAGACTTGACAGCGATAAATGGAGACAAAATAACACTGCTCCAGAAGGCGTTGGTGAAGGAGGAAAGATATGGTAAACAACTCGAAAGTTTGCGGTTCTAGGGTCAGCCGTTCACCTGGAGGCGGATATTGAGGGCTGAACCCTCGCCTCCTGTGGCGACTCCGCTTAGCTTCTCGATGCTCTTGAGGACGGGCAACAGGGCGGTGAGGAGGTGTTGCGAGTCCGACCGGCGCGAACACACCACCTACAATAGGGGGAGCAGGAGAGATGGGAGAGATTGATCAGAAGCATGTGGAGGGGGGTAGGGGGGGGTGAAGAGATGGGGACGGAGAGAGAAGCAAGAAGATGTTCACACCAACAAACAAGAACAACAACTACCCAAACGAAGAAGGGCTGTCTTGAGCGTACTAGAGCTTGCAAGGCCGAGTACAGCGAGAAGGATGAGGAGGAGCAGCAGCAGCAGCAGCAGCAGCAGCGGCAGCACGTCTGGTCGGCGATACTATGACGCCCCCTCCTGATATCTGTTGCCCTGCGAGAAGCAACACAATCAACTACGGACGAGAAGGATTGAAAGCATTGAAAATTGCAGCGGTGGCGCTTCACTGAGAGCTTCAATCATTCATAGCTACCTTGGGATGCGATAGCAACATCCTAGGCACACGTCTACCCACGTTGTCTTTATTCCTCTCTGGGTGTATATCAAAAGGCCACACCAGTAGATACCACCCTCGACAGACAGCTGGTCCGAACGAGAACCCACACAAGCCATCACGTCTCAAAACACACCCCACAAACGGCGTGAAGTACTTGTTCAAATACGTCAACAACGGAGAGTGAACAAAGACGCCTCTCACTTCTAGCAGATCCAAGGCGCGAAGTCGTATCTGGTACCCTTGTCGCTCTGCCTCCTGAGCTCCCTTCTTCCGCCCCGACTTCTTCAGCCCGATGAGAGCTCCCAACGCCTTGTCGGCCCCCGCATGATGCTGGAAAGCTTCCTCTCCGTCTTGGTCGTCTTCTCCGCCCAAGAGTGCTTCCATGTCCGACGGGTCAACCATCACCTAAATGGCGTGCATCGGTTGTACAGCAGTGCAGTCAGTGTAGACAGGAAAACAAAAAGTTGTGGCTGCTCCCCCTCCTCTTCTTTGTGACTCAGGGTAGAGACAGGCGACAGCAGTGCAGTCAGAGTGTCTGTCAGCGTGGAAAGAAAAAGCAAGTTGTTGCTGCTTCCTCTGATCTTCTTTGGGTGTCAAGGGTAGAGCGAAAAACACATTGTGATGCTTCCTCTCCGCTTCTTACTTGCTCTTTTGCACTTGTCCAACCCGTGATAAACCAAGTTCGGCAGCCACCTTGACCGTGCGTGGCCCAGACAACACACAGATACTTGCAGCCCAAAAATCGAAACTCGCGGTAGAAAAAGCGCCGCTACCAGAAAAACAAGCTTGAAGAGTGTCAGAATAGAGATTCATGCACATGCCACGGCGGTGGGCAATTATTATTATTGTTACTTGTATGTGACATAAATTAATTGTGTTTTACCTCATCGTTGTCTCCATCGTTCCCGTCGCCGTCGCTGTCGCTGTCGCCGTCGTCGGAGCTGCTCTCCTCCTGCTCACCGCCACTGCTGTCCTTCCCCTCAGCCCCAGCCTTTCCATTCTTTGCCATCTCCTCGTCGCCGTCGCCATCGCTGTCTTCGTCCTCATCATCTGAGGATGACTCGTTCCCGCCTGTGTTATTTATCGGAGACAAACACGCACACATGAGACTGGCGTCGTATCACTGATCAGCCACCTTTTAATAGCGCCGTCGGTGCTAACCGAAGAAAAACACGCACACAAACATCGGCAGGGGGAGGCAGCCCCCAGAATAGATTGCCGTATTCCCACTGGTCAGTCGGTTAGCGCGGCCAAGCTCATTGAAGGAACACATACATCGGAATCCACCGCATAAACGAGAAGGGATGATAAGGAAATCGTCCGGGCGGACTTTGAGGGGGGACCAGCCACTCTGCCCTGCCCTCTTTCAACTTGTTGCTGACGTTGCCTTCACACGAAGAATCGTCCTGATTTCCGATTCGTCTGCTCTTGAGCGCAAAGAAAAGGAATTTCGGTGGAAAAAAATTACTTGTACAAATGATCGTTGATCACCACATTTTCCGATTGGTGGTCGAGAATCAACCCCGACACGCCCCTTCTTCCGGGTTGGCACGTTCTTATTGTTGCTATGGTATTGATACGTTACCTAACCAATGACGAGACAGACGCTCCGAGGAAAAAAGAAACAAACCTCAACGCCTATCGACCATCAAAAAGAGCACAACCACAATCAATCCTGCAACTGCTGTCCCTGTGGTACTGCGACTTGTGCAACTCATCCCCGTGTACCCCGTCAACAAAAGACGCCTGCGAGAGATAGGGAACCCCTTGTACGCTTTGCTTTTCCTTGCTGGAAACATAGAGTCAGGCTCTACTCTGTCCTACCTTCATCCTGGTCTCCGCACACGGCGGCCACTAACGTGTTGAGAGCAGAACGCGTCAAAGGGGTCGAACCGCACACCATACCCCACACGCGCCTGCCAAACACACACGAGCATGCGGAGAGAGACAGAGAGAGAGAGAGAGGGAGGGAGGGAGAGGGAGGGGCCAGTCAAGTCAGGCCAGTGCATGCTTGTACCGAAAGGAGGTGGCGTCCGTGTGCAGGTAGATGAACGACCCAACACGTGTTGGTATGCATACGTGCGACTGGCAAGAAAGAAGAACCACGAACGTCCCGTAACGTCTTCATTGCTGTTCTAGCGTCGACCGCGCTAACCTAGCCAGACGACCAATAAAAAGACGTCAGTCATACATAAGTCGAGCACACCAAGCACGCAAACCATACAGACGTAGCGCAGAACAAAGGGTGGACAAGCGCCGGAAACAAAGCAACAACAACAACAAACCGCGGTAGCCGCGACATGAACCCTGAACCCCCCTGCCCCCATCCCCTCCTAGTCCTCACCTGGCCGTGTCACGGAGCCCCCGGACGGAGTGACTCGACGGCTCAGCAACGACGGCCACGAGAACGTCGGCAAGCATGGCCAGAGGGTCCGGCTCTGCACACGCCGGCGGCAAAGGGGAGGAAGAGTTGAGGCTTAGAAGGGGACAGAAAAGGCTTGATAAAGAGAGTGCGCGCTCGGAAAGCTGGTTCTGCTGTGTCCTTTTGTGGCTTCATCGTAAGGAAAACGATGGTCGTGGCTAACTCGAACGCCATCGAACCGCCGTCCCTAGCGGCGGCCACACAACAGCAAGTGCATCGTTCCCCACCGTACACCACGATTTGGCCGCGCCATCCCATGCCAGAACCGTTCCACACGGAATCCCAGGCCAACATCGTAGCAGCTGTTACCTACAGCCGCAGTCGCATCTCCCCCTTACCGTCCTTGTCTTCCTCCTCTTCATCATCATCGCCATCCTCTTCGTCGTTAGCCGAGCCAGACATGCGGCCGTAGGTCTCGACGAGATCAGTAATGTGCTGGCTGCGCTCCATTTCCCGGCCGCGTACCCCCTCCTTCGACCCTTCCAGCATGTGCAGCGACACCAGCAGCAGGATGCCGGCGAACGCAGAGCCGAGCTTGTCGTCCCTGTGGCCCGCACCGGCAGCAGCAACACCAGCCACAGCAATCAACAACAACAGTCAGCAATAGTATCTCCACAACCGTAACCTCTCCCGGAGTCTGGTCTCGCCCACCGTCCTGAGCGTGCCGCTGCAAGAGCGAGGGGAACGGCCTTCCCCGCCACACCAACGTTTCATCCTCTCCACAACACACCTCTATGTGACACCCCCCCCCCCTCCGGTCTAACGACTACGGCATGCGTC